TCTGCCTAAGTCATACAATCTGACATAAAAAACAGGCAGTGCCCTCTTTTTCAGGTCCCATCAAAATCTTTTCAGTCTCAGGACTGACATGTGCCTTACACTTTGTGCCTTGTAATACAATAGGCCTCTGTATTCTAGTAGCATGTTTATTGTGAGAACTTTTTTTGTTTCCTATATTTATTTTTCCTTGTATTCCATTTGTTGTTGTTGTATTCCATTATCTTTTTTTTCCCCTTAATGTACTTTATTTTCATCTTCTGTCATCTAATGAATGCTGCTATTCTTTTCCTCTTATTTCTAAATCTAAATAGACTTCTAACAAAAAATCTATTCCACAGCAATCAATAAGAAATGGAGCTGGTCTTTGCCTTGTTTTCTGGGTCACAATTTGCCAGTGGTCTGCATTCTTTATCCTTTCTCATAATAATGTTTGAGCTTTGCACTGTTGCATCAGCAAAATGAATAATATATGTGCCACAGATCTGTGTGCTATTAGTCATTCCCCCAAACATTCCATAGGAGCTCCCTGGTTTGCTGCTGTGATAAAAAGTTTCTAGTCACTTGTGAATTTTATTCAGTTGTGTATAATATATGCCTATTTTTAATGGGAATAAAGGTTATTTTTTATTATTTGTAGCTTCAGTCATCTGTTTGATTTCTTCACAACATCAGGAAATTCAAGGAAGCTGTGTAATGCCTCATAGATCCAGTCATGTTCCAGAGGAGACTCACTGTAAATACAGTAATTTCCCAAATGTGAAGTTTTGTGTCTTTTCACCTAGTCCAGCAGTTTCAAACATAGAGAATCACAGAATTAACTAGGCTGGAGAAGACCTTTGAGATCATCGAATCCAACCTATGACCTGGCATCAACTAGAGCATGGCACTGAGTGCCCCATCCAGTCTTCTTTAACATCTCCAGGGACGGTGACTCCACCACCTCCCTGGGCAGCCATTCCAGTGCCCAATCACTCTTTCTGTGTACAACTATTTCCTCATGCCCAGCCTAAACTTCCCCTGGTGCTGCCTGAGGCTCTGTCCTCTTGCCCTGTCACTGGTTACCTGGGAGAAGAGCCCAAACCTCACCTGGCCACAGCCTCCTTTCAGGTATCTGTTCTGACCTCATCAAAACTGCATTACACTTTTTCTTTGACAACAGTGAAACACACCTTGAGCCTTTCTTTCATAATTTTCCTATATATACAGGTATTATTTAACAATAAAACTGGCACTTCCAGTTCATTGTTGCTTTTTACGGGCAAATCTGCTAGGTGGTAACATAAGGAACCTCTTCCTCCTAGATCTGTATATGCATTTCCAAGTGTTTAGCTTTGACACCAGTACCCATGGCAGGAGGGACTCCCAGCTTTGTGCCAGGCACGAGAACAGAGGAGGCACATGTGGCCCTCCAGTTAGCCTCTGTCCTCATCACAAACCCCCACACTGAACTTCCTCTCTTCCCCTGCTCTTGCACATGCATGGACAGAAGCCCTAAGCCAGGCTGGACCTACAGTGATTCACTACCCAGCAGTGAGCTGAGCTCACTGCAGTGCTTGTACAGCAGAGACACAGGGCCACCAGCACTCTGCAAGAAAGGACTGAATCAGAAAGCAGGGAACATCCCTCTCCACACAGCTCAGGGGCTGTGACACAGCCTTTGGGCTACTGTCCACAAGGAGCAGGATGCAGGCTGGGGCATCCAGTGCAGCAGCACAACATCAGTTTTACACCTACCCCATTCCATCTGTGTCAGCCATTTGTACCTTCTCTGCTACAGGGACAGTTTGGGATGTCCCCAGCATTTTCCCCGGTTCAAGCAGCAATGATATCTTGTCAGCAGTGGTTTCAATTCTCCAGTTTGGGAACATCAGATGCAGGAAGTGTGAAATTTAATTATAACATTAAATAAAAGCACAAGATTGAACAGTTTGTTTTCCACAAGCTGAATTTTTCTCTTACTAGTGATTGTTTTAATTTTGTTTTCAATACATTAAATAAAAAAGCAGCAGAAGTTTAACTTACACTTTCAAAATGCAAGTCACATCAATCTTATCATACTCTCACACAGTAGACTCCACCTGCTGTGCAACTCATTGTCTTGTGGACACACTCTTAGCAATGTTGTCACAAGCGTAGTGGTTTCGTTTGGGCAAAACTTACTGCCAGTAAGACTCTTGACCAGTTCACTGTACAGTCCTGGTGGCAGCCACTGCTCTGGCAGATCAATGTTACAGACTTCAATTCTTCCATGCTTTACATCCATATTTACTTTAATATCAAGAACAGAATCTTTATAGGCCATGTTAAGACATGTGCTAATGCTGAACTTTGGTGTCTTTCCGTACACCCATTCCCAGGTTTGTAATTCTTTAGTTTTTTCACTAATTCCAGGAAGCAGAGTCTCATCAGCTGGATTTATTAAAGTGATATGGTGATCTATCTGGTGTTGCACAGCATATTCTTTAGCAATGGCATCCAGAAGCATCTCAGAAGTTAAACTAGGATCCTCTTCAAAGAGATTTTTCACCAAGGCAGGCACGCTAGGAGTGGCATTGCTCTTTATCCCTTCAAAAGGACTTTTTAGCACAGAAGATAAAACACACTTATCTGCATTACAGAGTAAGGTACAGTGGTGATAAGCACTTGTCCTTCCCAGCTTTGCAGCAGTGCCTGAGATTTTGTATTGCCTGTCCAGCAAGATGTCATATCTGTCAGTGACATGTACATCTAACTGGGGTCGCAAGGCTTTCAGTGCCTTCACAACGAGCTTCAGGTTTTCCATTCGTTCATATTTTTTCCTGGTTGTGAAGAAAGTCAAATTGATATTACCTAAGTCGTGGTAAACTGTCCCTCCTCCACTTCTTCTTCTGGCTAGTTTTATATTTTTTTGCCTCAATAGCCCGAGGTTGCATTCCTGCCAGGGATTCTGATGTCTGCCTATTACCACGGCAGGGGAATTTCTCCAAAGGAAAAGGACCTGTTGCTTCTCTAAATCCATGTGGTCATGGATCCAATCTTCCACAGCTAGATTTTGGTAAACATCATTAGAAACAGACTGGATAATGAGGCCTCCACTGGCTGCGCTCCAGAAGCAAGCTTTTGGAGTCCTGAGGACGCAGGACAGCCAAAGGCAGTTTTTAAATGGCTGGAGAACCATGTTTTTAATAACTGCACAGCGGATGGAAGGAATGCTTATTCTGATAACGCTGAATGCAGCAGGAGCACAGCCGGCTCCCGTGACAGAACAGAAATGCCAGTGGCGGGCGTGAGACACTCATGCTCTTCCCACAGCAGCACGCCAGTTCCCAGGCATGGTGCTCCTCCGGCGATGCCGCTCAGGCCCTGGCGGGAGCCTCACGGGACACCCGGGGGTGTCACTGCAGCTGCTCCTCGCAGTCCCTCGTGCCTGAAAGACCAAAGGAAGAAACGGAATGTGTGTTTTCCCCTCACTCAAGGCAGCCTTGCTAACTGGGTTTCACTTTGCGTAGTCCAGCTTTGTTAGGGTTTTCTGCCTTCTTTTCCATGGGGTTCCCGGCGCGGCGTCCCCTCAGCCCCCGACGCCGCGTCTCCGCCCGCACAGCCCCGCCGGGCGCCCTGCGCTACTCACGGCGGGGAGCGGAGCGCTTCCAGCGCCCGTCCGTGCCCCCGTGGACTCCTTGGAACTGGCGGCATCGGGAGCGCCTTCCGCTTCCCGGGTGAGAGGTGCTGGGGGCGGGCTCAGCGGTGCCGTGCGGCGGGGAGGGCCGGGGGCGGCGGGCTGCGAGCGCGGCCTGGTGCTTGCTGGGCGCCGGGATCCCGTCTGTCCCAGCGCTGCCACGGCACTGGGCGGGAGATGGAGCTGGGGAGAGCGGGAAGGATCAGGTCACAGAATCACAGAGCCGGTCGGGTTGGAAGGGACCACAGTGGGACATCTGGTCCTCCTGCTCAAGCAGGGTCATCCCAGAGCGCATGGCACTGGATTGTGTCCAGGCGGTTCTTGAATATCCCCAGTAAGGAAAACTCCACACCCTCTCTGGGCGACCTGTTCCAGTGCTCGGTCACCTGCACAGAAAAGGGCTTCCTCACGTTCAGGTAGATTTCCTGTGCATCAGTTCCTGGCTGTTGCTTCTGAGAAAAGGGCTTCCTCATGTTCAGGTAGATTTCCTGTGCATCAGTTCCTGGCTGTTGCTTCTCATCCTATTGTTTGGCACCTCCAAGAAGAGCCTGACTGCATCCTCTTCACACCGTCGCTTAAGATACTTTTCGGCACTTCTCACAATATTTACAGGGCAACAAGAGGCCAGTGAACAATGCATAAAATGGATGATTTTTCTTGCAAGACCCAGATGTGCAGTTCCTCTCTGCAGGTTATTCTGGATGCTAGAAGCTTTTATGAGTTCGCAAGGAGACAGAGTTAATGCAAATGCTGAGACTTGTGAAATACACTCTCTATGGTGCTCATGAAGATACAGAAGCTAAATGTCGGTACATTTCATTAAGCTGGAAATTGAAACAAGCTGTCGGTAATTCATTAACAAGCTGGAAAGTGATCAAAGGCTAGATGTATTGCTGGCAGCAGATTGTCTTCAGATTTGCATTTAAGCCATTCTTAAAGTCTAGCCAACCTTAGCTATAATTCTTCATCAAAAGCAATTGTCTGTGCTCAAGCTTACACCATGGGACAATGTTCAGTGCTAGCTGAAGTTTTTTATTCACAGTAGTATCCCTATGGGCAAACATGTGCTGTATTTCTCTTGTTCATGGATGTGTATTTCTAAAAGGTACATTACATACCTTTGTCTTCCATTCTGCCTTAAAAGAACTGTGTGGGTGTAGTAGGGCAAGTAAGAAACCATCACAACACGTGAGCTGATGGTGATTAGTGAGAGAAACAGACTCTAAAAGGAGCTTGATGTGATGTGTGTGCCAGCACCTTTAATGTTGCACTGTCACATTAAATAAAAAAAAAAAAAAAGGATTTTTTCGTACTGTCATATTAAATTTAAAAAAAAAGGAATTTTTTTAGGCAATTTGAAATGGACATAACTTTTTGCTGAATTACACTGATAATAATTTTTTACTGCGGTAAACTATTCTATAATGCACAGGTAAAAAAAGGTAAAAAGCATGTGGACTTTGTCCATAAAAATGTGCTGGAATTCAATGTTGAAGGCAGTTGAGAAAATGCAAACACAAACCTGTGCATTCTAGCACTGGTCAGAAGTGTGGAAGTGCGTCTTGTGAGACAACTGCTGTTACTAAAACCCAAAAAAAATGTAGGACCACTTGTCTCCATTTTGGTGCTTGATTCTTGAATGTTTGCAGTGTGTCTTTTTGCCACGGGGTGTCCCTAAAAACCTACTGTGAGATGTTGCAGTCTATGTTTTTCTAGTCAAAAACTGTTTTGATAGTTAGAACCATTATTTGCTGAAAAACGTAAAGTGTGCAGAGTAGTAGGTGGACAGATAAAAATGTCGTGGGTCTGTTTCTGATAAGCTGAAGGAGTAAATACACATGCAACAATAAATGCCTTCCTATTGTTGAAGATAAATCCAGCAAGATAATTAGAAATATTCTGACAATGAGCAAAAAGTATGAATTTGTAAATGCACACCATTATTTATTTATCTCTTCTGGATTGGTTGTTTAAAATTTTTTATGTCCCAACTACTGTTGTGTAAATCACATGCCCGTAAAATACACCAAATATTATTTTCATTTTTGAAAACAATCCTGTGTATGAATTTAATTTCTTTTTTGATCAACAAAGCATTGTTTGATATTAAAAAAGCAATGCAACTGCTCTGCACAACATTAACCAGAATTGAGATATAAAAAATAACTCTCCATATGTCCCTTAGAGGATACCTTAGACATACCAGAACAAAACCATTTCACTCCTAAAATGAATTTTCATGAAGAATAATTTTATTAAAGTTGTGAAAACATGAAATGCCCTTTACACATCTCTTTTGGAGATAAACATGACAATACAGAATCTCCACTTCCACCATGCCAAAATCTGAAAGTTAGTTTTACAAGAAATCCAGGATGGGGAAAGGGAAAAGAAAAAGGCTTGTTTCTCTAGCTCTCTTTCTGGAAATTAAAATCTTCCAATTTCTTTTCTGGCTTTAGGTGGGGATTGTATTTCAGAGGTGTTACTCACTCCTAATGTCTGAAAATGCGAGCTGTATCCAGGAGTGCTTAATAGTGGCTGCTTGCCAAAAAACCCCGTTACTGACCCTGCACTGTCTCCAGAATATAAAACCTGTGCTAGTGGCTAGCAGGGAAGAGAGGACATTTTGTCTATTTCCTCTCCTTGACTTTGGGGCTACCTAAAGCAGCATTTTACAAAGGCTGTTTATATCCTTGCCATGAGCAGGCAATAGGAGTCACAGGGTTCACATGACCTCCTTACCCTTTTTGCATCACTTTCTTGGAAGGCACCCGTCTGCTTGTCCCTGTCTGTGCTGTTCCAAGAAGATGATATGTGCAACCAGAGGTACTGTAAATAAGAACTCCTATCTTGGGATATAAGGAAACATAAGAAGTAATTTCTTTGAAATGATTTTGTTGGTGCAATAAAGAAAAGCTTAATTAGCCTCGTAATACTCTGATGTTTTAACTTCGTGATGTTTGTAAACCGGTAATATATTAGTCCTGGCATTAAAAATCAGGAGTGAGTTCAGGCTGGAGTTTATCATATGTGTGAAGCTAATGTTTGACACTGTCAAGGAACAAGTATAGTGTAAAGAATAATATTTATTCTGGATGACACAACTGGCACATAGTCTTACAAATAGATACATAAATTAGATGAGTTTTGGAGAGAAGATAAGGTTTAATTAAAGGAAGCTATTTTCACAAGATTAAGTCTTATCTAACACTTGCTTTGTTCTTGTCAGGCCTGAGAGATTGTGTGGCAATTGCTGGAGTCTTTATCTGTGAAAGTGTCTCCTTGGATATTAGTTTCTGGAAGAGATGAACCTAATTAGAGTAGAGGTGTTCAGCAGAGCTCCCCGAGTTCACTGTCACTCCCGCCTGATCAGCTGTGGCAGTTTCAGGATACCCATCTCTCTCCTGGGGCTGGACTAACAAGACTTGGCTGCTTGGCTTTGTCTCTGAAATCTTGTGACCTGTAAGCATTGCTCATGCTGCCTTTCTCTGCCTTTTGCTGAGGCTTTTGCATTAATGACAGGCAAGGCCTATGCTCCATGTGTGGGCCCAGGAAGTTTGGGTTAAAGGTGCTTTAAAGGAATTCTTTAAAAGAATTTCACTCAAAACAACAATGGATGGTGGTATTGCATGAGTCTGAGTGTGCTAATTTATGATCCATCCTCCTGTTTCCATCCCCAAATAACTGTGAAGAATTTAACTATTTTCTGAGGAAGTAATCTTTTTATCTGTCAAGGTATGGAGAAAGTGTTGTGTCACTAGAGGAGAAGCTTGGCTTAACTCCCTCCCCCAACAGAAAAGCTCTTCAAAAAGATGTAGCAGCAACTGGTCATTCAGTATTCATTTGTACTTAAAATCAGAAATCAATATGAGCACCTTTCCTTGACTTTAGTAAAGTTTATTGAGAAACTATGCTCTACATCATAAACCTGATAGAGAAAGTTGAATTTTCATAGATAAGAGTTATTCAAAAACCTTCCAAGATGAAACCAAGTAGAGAAATAATTAAAATTTCTATGAAAGCAGTGGTCATAAATATTTATATCAACATTAATAGGAAAAGGGGTTTACTGATAATTTTGTACAAGATTTACAATCCATCTTTTTAAAAATTATTTTTAGGAATATTTCTAACCTCTCATTTTGTTTTGCCAGAATTTCAGCCATATACACCTAACAGATACTATGATCATCTTGGAAAGCAAGAGTAAAGAAAATAAAAGTACAGAGACGTCATGCTGACTAGAAAGCTATTTATGTAAGCTGTTGTGCTGGTACTGAGCCAGAAGTCAGTGTGTCCATCACAGCTGCTTGGCTTCTGTCTTACAGAACTGCCTCAAGGAAATAAGAGCCATAGAATAGTTTGTGTTGGAAGGGACCTTAAAGACCACCTAGTTCCAACTCCCCTTTCACGGACAGAGGCACCTTCCACTAGACCAGGTTGCTCAGAGCTCCATCCAGCCTAATTTTGAATACCTCCAGATGTGGAGACTCCACAGCCTTTTTAGGTGGTCTCTTCAGTTCCTCATCACCCCCCAAAGAAATTAATTCTTCTTGAAAGTAAACAATTCCTCCCTATTATCTAATTTAAACCTTCCCTCCTTCAGCTTAGGGTCATTCCCCCTTGCCCTATCACTACATTCCCTTGTGAAAAGTCCCTCTCCAGCCTTCTTGTAAGCTCCATTTAGCTACTGGAGTCTCCCTGGAGCCTTCACTTCAGCTGAGCAGTCCCAGCTCTCTCAGCCTGATTTCATAGGAGAAGGGAGAGGGTTTCAGCCCTCTGATCGCCTTAGTGGCCCTCCTCTGGACTTACTCCAACAGATCAGTGTCTTTGTTGAACTGGGGGCTCTGGAGCTGGATGCAGCACTCCAGGTGGGGTCTCATGAGGGCAGAGTAGAGAGGGAGCATCACCTCCTTCACCCTGCTGGGCATGCATTTTTTGCTGCAGCCCAGGATGTGGTTGGCCTTCTGCTCTGCGAGGCCACATTGCCAGCTCATGTTGAACTTGTCCACCAGCATCCTGAAGTCCTTCTCCCCACGGCTGCTCTCCATCCATTCTCCTCCCAGCTTGTGTCCATGTCACTGACAGATGTTAAACAGCACCAGCCCAATATCAACACCTGGTCTCCACCTGGACATGGAGTCATTGGCCAGTTTGAGTGCAACCATCCATCTAATTCTTTATCCACAGAATAGTCCATCTGTGAAGTCCATGTCTCTCCTGATTAGAGACAAGGACCTTGTGCAGGACAGTGTCAAATGCCTTGCACAAGCCCAGGTAGATGATAGCAGTTGCTTTTTCCTCAACACTTACTTAACACCGCTGCTGTAACCCCCTTGCAGAAGGTCACCAAATTTGTCAGGCATGATTTGCCATGGTGAAATCATGTTGTCTGCCACTAATTACCCCTTATTTTCTGTGTGCCATAGGATAGTTTCCAGGGGGATCTGCTCCATGATCTTGACAGGTACCGAGGCAAAAGTTACTGGCCTGTATTTCCCTGGGACTTCCATATTTCTTTTCAAATCAGTGGTGAAATGAGTCACAGCAGTCAATTCTTACCACTGTATGGCAGGTGTAGTCTAAGTATATATTTTAGGATATATAAATATTTTCATGTTTTCCAAAAAGTGCTCTCACTAGTTGCTAAAAGTATTATTGTGAGTGAGCAAATACTGTGTGTAAATTCTAAATTTGAGTCCTCAGTGTTCAGTGAGGTACTGAAGGTGCCAATTGCTTGATTGCTGTGATCTGTTCTCTTTCCTAGGACTAGGGAAATGCATATAACTGTACAACTTGAGAGTTCCTCTTTCAGAGAGAACAGTATATTTGGATGGGATTCACCTAATCTACATGATATGTTAGCAGTGACATATATATATATATATATATATATATGATTGTAATAGATATTGAGGCTATCTTTATCATTAGAGGTACTCCTAGGACATGATTAATTTTAGTGTGAATGCCAAAATCAATTGTAGGAATCACTTTCTAGAAATTACTCTTTGTAGTTACTCAAAATTACATTAATTTACTCTGAAACAAATGGGATTTGATGTGCAATTTTGAATTTCAGAATTGCAGTTTATCTTCAGAATCTGTTTTAGGCTCTTACAAGACTTTCTGGATTTCAGTAATACTTACTACACATTACTTTATTTCCATTGCAAAAATTTGCCTTTCATGGACCTTAAACAAACATGGTGGCCTACTTTGTATCGTATTTAAAAATTCATTAAATATTCCAGTACAAATCTACCCTTAGTTTTGAACATAGATATTTCAAGTTAATTAACATTTAGCTTTTATGTCCCTTTCTTTCTTGTTAGATACATATTAGAAGGACATTCACACATATTTGCAATATAACAAAAAAGAAAAAATACATTCAGAAGTTACTTTAAAATATTATATGGATATTTATTTTAATTAGATATCTGCTTCATCTTAATTTGCTTAATTTATGCTAATGCAGGTTATGTTACAAAGAGGATATGAAATAAAGCAAGGGAATCACCTTCAAGGCTTGATGCCTTTATTTAGTCACTGGAAAAGGACAGAGACTGCCATAAATGTGAGACTGAGAATTTGTTGAAGGTATTAAGAAACACATTCTCAAGTCCTAAGTAAATCTCTGCTTGTGGCAGCATAAAAAAAAAAATATCATCCATCCAGGTGAGCTTGGGAAGTCACTTTGGAAGAGGAGGAATATATTTTTTAGACTATATCTCATATTAAACTACTAAAGCTATAACTACCAGGAAGAACAGCTAGTTGATTGTAAACAGAAAGATGCATAAAATGGGAATGGGCCAATAATAGAAGTTTTCTAACCCGATATAATAAGAAAGTGTTTCAAGTTTTGTTTCTCTGCTTTAACACTATATCACCATATTCTTTAAGGGGGTGGTTGCTGATCCAGAAGTCTTGAAAATATTGAAAGAATGTGAAGAACTTGAGTCAACATGGAAAATAAATTAATGTCATGGCAGAAATTCAGGGTAACTTCAAAGTTTTAACAGCTGAGAGAGAAAAAATTCTGAGTCTTTATGAACAGGTAATTTTATTTATATTTGTGTGATTAATTGAAATAGCAAGGTAATGTGCATGAAAAATATTTTTTTTTTGGCTTCATATGAAATAAAAAAAGAAAGAATGCAAAGTATTTGTTTAAAAAATATTTTTTTTTAAAGTTATGGAAATTCGGTGATTTGAATCTGTCAGTTCAATACAAGTTTGTAAGTGCTGTCTTGAGTTTGTAAGTGCTGTCTTGAGTTAAAAATGCTTTCCTGAATCAAAGAATATGTGCACAAATGCTTACTTCATCTTCGATATTACACAGTTTCTGGGATGATCTACTTTACCAGCCACAGGACCCAGTAATGTATTGATTATCTATTCCATGTTTCTGTTATTCTACTGTTTTTAAAAACAGGCACAAGAGGAGATTTCCCAGCTCTGTCAGGAAGCTATAAAATGACCCAGGACCCCTAAAAGCATCACTCCTGTGACAGCTCAAGCTGTATTAAGACACATGGAGATAGAAAGGAATAAAGCACTGTCAGATTGCCAAAGGGTGCCTACAGAACGGGATGGCCTCAGGGAGCAGTTACAGGTTTGATTCTGTCCCACCCCACCTCAGCCCCACCCCACAGGTTATTTAAACATGGAAACTACCTATCAGTGTAATTACAGTTGCTAAGAATTTCTCTTCCAGTCCTGAGAATTAATTGCTTTACAAGTCTGTGGTGAGTTGAGACTTGTTTTATGTAGGATTTTATTGTTGCTGTTATTTGATACAGATTCCCCAAGAAGCTGCGTTTAATGAAAAGGCTCATTTGGAACAGAGAATTGAAGAGCTTTAAATGACTATTCACAATGTAAGGGAAAGTAATTATTTATGGAATTGAAAATATAATACAGGTGATGCTCCTGGTTAATCCTGCAGCACCAGCCAGTCTGCTATCAGGAAACAATAGGCTGACAGCAGTGCATGTTATTTACCAAGATTCTTTCCCCTCTACTCTGCTCTAGTAAGGCACCACCTGGAGAACTGTGTCTAGCTCTGGGATCTCCAACATAATGATGACATGGACCGGTTGGAGTAAGTCCAGAGGAGGCCATGAAGATGACCAGAATGGGCTGGAGCACCTCTCCTACAAAGACAGGCTGAGATGGTGGTGAGGCCCTGGAAAAGGTTGCCCGGAGAAGTTGTGGATGCCCCATCCCTGAAAGTGTTCAAGACCAGTCTGGATGGAGCACTCAACAACCTGATGTGATGGAAGGTGTCCCTGTCCATTGCAGGGGGCATGGAACAAGATGCTATTTAAAGTCCCCTCCAACTAAAACCATTCTGTGATCCTGTGATTTTAAGACTGTATCAAACTTTGACAGTGTTTCCCGCAATGATCTTATATCCAGGTGAGGATAGGCATGTTTCACCTGGAGTAGAAGTGGCTTAAGAGGGACATAAGTCCTACCTGCCAGTAGGTTTGACATCAAGAAGTCATTAACAGGCTTTTTACTGCCGTGCTTGGTGGAAAGACGAACAACAATGGGCATCCATTGAAGCCAGAAGGGTTCAGGCTGAATACAAGGCAATACTTGCTTCTCATGAGGGCAGTCGAGCAGTCCCCAGCCCTGGAGATTTTCAAGACTGGCCTGAACAAAGCCCTGAGCAGCCTGACCTCAGAGCTGGCTCTGCTTTGAGCAGGGGTTTAGACTAGAGACCTGGAGTCCATTCAAATCTGAATTATCTTATGACTGTGTATTACTAAGATCTGATGCTTCAAAGCTAAACGTAATTGCACTCTTCTAGCAAATAGTTTTTAATATGGTTTAAGTTACTTGTGTGTACAATTGATTGCTAACAATTTGCTAACAAACAGAAAATGGAAACATTAAGATAATGAATATAAATCCTAAATTTACTTACAGTCTTGGTAGAACTTGATTTTTAAATAAATTAACCATGCTTTCTGCAGTATATCTTTCTTCTAGATCTTAAGGTTATAAATTCTAGTTTATCTTCTTTTTCTGCCTCAGCTTTCTAAAGCTCCTACCAAGCTTATAAATATAATACCACAGTTTATAATATTAAATGGAGTGCATCTGATATGAAGAATACACTGTAGGCTGAAATAGCTCTGAGTAGTAAATTAACTTTAATCACACGCCTACATATGACGTGTAGGGAGCCCTGTTTTAGGTACATCATCTTATTTCTTCAGTTCTCTTGGTACCCTTTGAGAGCAATACATCAACATGAAATTTATGGCACTAGTCTTGAAGAAGCTACTGTACAGCAGAGGCTTACTGACTTGCTCTTTAGAGGCCTGACCTTTGATTATAGTAACACAGAAATTCGGACCGTACAGAAATTAGTACTGAAAAATTTGGTAAAGGAGGAGAGGCATGGGGTGAGAATTTTGTATTTTTGTGAGAATTTTTGTACTTTAAAAGATGTATTTCAAATAATTTAGAAAGGACAGTCCTTTAAACGTTAAGTGTAAGTATTTTAATAAAAAGATAGGGGTTTCTTTAGACTGAAGATTTCAGACCAGCTTTGCTGGAGTCTGTGCAAGAGGTTTTGGATCTGTTCTTTGTTTTAGCTACAGACCTGAAGGCCTCATGGTGGTAACTTGGTTACATAGTGCATTATGCAAGTGTTTTACAGTGATTTCTCTACCTGGTTATTGGCATAGGCACGTAACTTAATATAGGTCTAAAGCCATTATTGGTCATGTTGTGTCCCAAACCATGATTTCTCCCTTCATACACTCATAATAATGTTTTCTTCTATGTTATTTTACTTTTAATGTTGATCAATGACAAACATATTTGCCCTTGGGCAATTTATATGAATAAATGAAAATATTCCCAGAGATCTAAAAGATGGGAAATTGATTTACCTTCAAAGGATGTGAAAGTCACATTTCAGGTGTTTGCCAACTATCTTCAGGAAACTGATAGTTGAGTAAATGAGATACTTGGACATTTCTACTTCAGCAAAAGATTTGTGCTAAAAACAGAGTAAAAATTGAAATAAATTCTATAAATCAGCTATTTTTTTTTGTTTGTTAGCTGTTAGTGTTTGATTATATTTATAGTTAGATAGTGAACAGTTTGAACAGATGTCTAAAGTGGCACTGAGAAAGACACCATTGATTATCTGGACACTGAAATGAAAAGATTGACAAGCACTACATTCTGAAAATGAGTTGACAGGAAGCTGAATATGCTTCTCTTAGGTAAGTAGAAGTATGTAATTGCTTTAATTTGACTAGTAACATCAGCCTGGACCTAATTGGTCCTCCAATCCAAACACCATCACCATTGGCTAATTAAGAAACCACCCTTTGGTAAACAAATCTCCATAACACATTCCACATGTTCACAACGGGTGCAGCAAGTGAAGATAAGAATTGTTTCTAATTTTTTTCTCTGATCTTCTCACAGCCTTTGCCAGCAAGGTGGGGAAGCTGTGTGCTGCTCTCTATAGCCAGAGAGCTGCTGCAGTACTTGTGTTCACTGTTTTTTGTAACTTTTATAAGGCTCAAAGGGAAATAAATTTATGAAAGCTGATTATGAGCCATCATTCATTTTGGAATGAAATTGTTTTCCTCATTGCTTATTTATATGTAAATGTTCTTGTCTTATTGATATGATGATATGGTGGAAACCACCTTCACCGAAAAAGTAAAATTCATTTAATTTGGAGTTAGGAGCTTTCTATTAGAAGCTACAGGGATTGATGGGTTTTGGTAAATATAATATGAATAATTTGATTTTTTAAAAAATAAAACCAGGCAAATGTGTAAACTAGTGAATGTTGTATTTTTAGTTTTAAAGATCCATTTCTTACACTTGGAGCCTTTTCATGAGGGGAAGTAAAACTGAATCTTTGTGTAGGGCTTATTGTCTGCTGCTCAGCTGGAGTTCCCAGTCATGTTCAGAAGCATAGTGGGACTAGACTCGATCAAAGCCTTTAGGGAATAAAACATATGTCAGTGAGTGCTGCTTTATAATAAACTGTCAGATTTATGAACACTGTTGAATTGTTGAAAACTAGGTGCTGCTACTGAAAGATCTTTTTCTTTACACCCCCAAACCAAATTGACGATTCTTTTCAGTTTCTTGAACAGTGTGAGAATCATTAATATTGTTACATTTGAACAGATTACTTGCTTATAACTTGAAACAGGTCAGGCATTCCAATGGATGTCCCAGGGGATGGTTTTTATTATAATTATTTTTGTGACTTTCTTATAATCACCTGTTGCAAAGAATTTTTTTTTTACTTTTCTGTAATCTTTACACAATTATTCAGAATTTAATATACTGAGATTAAAGTTAACATTAATAAAATATTCCAAACAGTCTAAAATAGACAGAAAAATCTCAATTTTTCATATATTTTGCAATTTTAGTGAACTTTCTAAAAGAAAAAAAAAAAAATCAGTGTTTGAATTCTCACGTTTAATGCTTCTGCTTTTCCATTTTATTGAATGAAAAGACAAAACTGAGTCTTTCAGAGATTCAGTGAAGACTTGTGACGTAAAAACTTGAAATGCAACTTAACCAAGGGAAAATTATGCATTTAGACGAAAAAGCTCTGGTGACTGACAGATTCAATTTTCTTAATAAAATTCAATAGGCTAATTTTCATATTCTGCAGTCATCTTTTTTTTAATAGGTTGAAAGAAAAGGCATTGAATGCAAATAAATAAATAAACAAATATACTTCTGAAACTTTTAACATTTTGAATGCAAAACTCTTGTTTTCTTTCATTATTGAAAGGTTTTTGCATTTTAAAATTATGTGACAGAGCTCTGGCAAGTGTAAATTTCAGTGACAACACATACTGTATTGATGTTTCTTCAAGAACTGCTTTTGGAAGGAAGATACTTGAAATGGTGGGTTATAATACAGCCTTACATTATCCACTGTGTATTTTATCTCTGTGTGGTTCCTACTGAAAGTAGTTAAAATATTTCAAGTGTCATCTCATGCACACACAATACTCCTGCACTGATATGTTTTCCAGGCAGCTAGAAATTTAGCTTAATACCTGTAGGAGTTAATCACTTTTGTGGGTGATGTGGGCTTTCTTCTTTTTCTTCAACTTCTTGCCTTCATTTGGGTTTTCAGATACTTGATCTGTGCACTTGCTCTACTGCTCACTTGACTTTCTCTTCCTCTAGAAGTGCTACTCAGTTTTAAAGGAGCAAATTAACTGTACCTGATGTCAGGTATATAGAGCTTTGAAGTCATTAAGGGTCCCTTTTAAGTGAAGAAAAGTCCTCCAGGAGATTCATGCCACCCCAGTTTTAAAAATGATTAATTTGACCTCTCTCCCTTCATTCTAGAGGTAGTATAGCTGATGGCTTTAGATCAGGTGTTTAATTCTTAGGTGAGACCAAAATTTAGGTGAGACCACTTGCATTCTAAATAACTTTTCTCCCAAACATACTCATTTTTTCCTCTTAAGTGCCCTCCTAGAAAAGGTGAGGGTGGCTTTGACTGCCAAAGGTTCACCAGGGAATCCCTTCTTCACCTTCTCCTGGAATCACACTTTTTAAGGATGATGTCAGCTGGTACAAAATGCAGCTGCCTGATGATCCCCACTACTTTTGAAAGCTTCAGTTTTCTTTGCAATACCTGGATGCCTGTAGAAGCAGTTGGAAAGGAAAAAATCTTAGTATAATAGGATGAAGTACTTTTTAGTATGATTTCTTCTGGAATATGTATTGGTTTCTCCAGGCCCTTCCATTAACTGAGGTGATACTCAAGTATTTAAAGTATTATCATTTCTTTGCTTGGGTTTACTGGAAAGTTTCCAGAACACCTTTCTCAGTAACTCAGTAACTCACAGCCTTTTTGCAACACGAATGGGCTTTCTCCACAGAGCCTTCCCCAAACTACCTCACCTTCCCCCAGTTCCTGCAGCTGAGTTCTAGCAATTTTGCACAGAATAAATTTCTGAACTGTGCAGTTCAAGACAGCCTTTCTGCAGCTCCTTTTTCTGTTCACTTTCTCAAGCAATAATTCTCAGAAGTTCTGTGTCTGTTCTAATAGTTGTGGCTTTATTTCTCCTGATTGGGAGATACCCACTTGATTAATTAGGATGCAAGAAATTCTGTAATAATTAAATTACTTAATTTATCTGTCTTCTACTTTTAAAAATATAGGCTTTTAAAAAACTAATGTAAAAAGAGAATGGAACTTATTGAGCTCTGCTTGTTAAATGGGACAGGCTGTTTTTTTATGACAATCTAGCTGCTAAATAAACCATCTTTTTTTTTTCTTCTTTTTTAACTGCTGCATTCCTTTACAGACATTTTTATTCTTTCTAAGAAGATTTAGTATTATTTATAAGTTAAAAAAAAAAATCACAAATGAAAAATTTGGTTTATAAAAATACACATAATTTACATTTCACATAACCTTTTAAAACTAATTAATAAAACCATAGACATTAAATACACACTAATTTTTTTTTTTAAGGTACAAGCAGTATACTTAAATCTTAGGGAAAAATCTTTCTTCATAGGTACTATATAAAAAACTAGCAAAGTACCAAACTGAGCTTGATGCTATGAAGTTGAAAGCCCAGGATTCAAACAGAGATATTTTGAGGCTGAAGTCTAAAGTGAGTATACAAATTAAAACTGTTGGTTTTTAACTAAAAATAAAATTTTTAGATATCTCCATAGAAGAATTTCCTTCCTAACCAAAACTCATTTGCATTCCCTTAATTTGGCTTTAGTAGTTTGGACACATTTTCATGGCTGTTTTTGCAGTAAAAAATTAATGTAGAATATTTCATTGTGGTTATATATATATACACACACACACACACGTGTGTGTTTATTCAACTTGAAAATTCAGACAGCGAATAATACAGAGACTTGGAATACTTTTATATCTATTACTTTATGGGATTAAAGTAAAAAGGAGTATTACTGCACTATATTGGTATATTTGTATGTCTAATGTTAACCTAGCCATTCTTAACAGATGTCTATTGATCATTAAAATGTACTCATCTTGGACAAAACTCTGGTTCTTGAGAAGTCTCTCAATGTTTTCACTAAATGGCAGAATTTTCAGTGGAAAGAGTATATCCAATACCATATCTGTAGATCTGTAAATATCCCTATTTTTTGGAGCTTACTGTAAATTATTAAATAAATAAGCTTTATGTATTAGGAGAGAGAACTGTGAGCTCTTATCACAAAGCCTGTGAACAAGGAGAAAGTTGGGAAGCAAAATGCCATGAAGCAGAAACAGGCTTTTCCTGTTAGACTGGCAGTGATCAGTGCAGTCTGAGAGCCACAGCTGGAAAGGGAAACAGAGTCCCTTGAAACACAGATGGAGCAAGTGAGTTGAAATCATTCTTTCCATAGTTCACCCTTGAAATGGTCTGTTAATATTTTAAAATTATGTTTAATGCCACTTCTATTTCAGGGAGATTTTTCACCATGAACTGTATGCATTTTACTTTATATAATAATATGATTAGAATTCCAATTTTTCACGCTTGGGAAAAAATCTTAAAAAAAAATTCAAGGAAAACAAAAAAAATTAAATGCTCTCCTGGTTTGAAATCACTGAAGGCATAGTCATACACAAATCAACTCAGCATACCTGAATCATATCAAGTACTTTGTCACCTGTCATGTTCCTGTCTCTGCTCTTCTTGCTTTGAGCTTTGTAGCCTACTTTTTACTGCTTTAGATGTCCCAAAGAGCCTCTTCCCACTTGAAAATCTGAAGAACTTAAAGAAAAACTCGTAGCTTGGCTTTGGAATTACATTGTGAGCATATAAACATGGTTTGGGGGCTCTCCAATTTTTGTTGCAGATCATCTGTGCTTCCTGAACATGACATAAACTGCTGAGGACTACTCAAGAGCATTAGGTACTCTAGAGGAACCAAACTGTTGCAGTTCATAAAGTGGGTGAGAACACAGCAATAGCAAAACAGCACAGGAAGGTATTGTAGCAGATTTTGGCATTCCTTGAAGATATAATAAAACTGGTACACAGGTCTAGTTTGTCCAACAAGCCTGAAACCAGCAGACATTTCATCCTTCTAATTCCTTCCCACATGCCTGCTATTAAGCACAGGAATA